AATTACCCCTTAATGTTGTGATTCTTTCCTATGTATATACATATTTATATTAATTGTAACTATTTATAGAAAGTTGCTAAAACAAAATTTTTCGTTGTTGATCTAAGTAGGAATTGACTTAAAAACTATTTTTTTATATTACTTGTTTTTTAGCGCTACACAGCGAGCTCTTTGTCACACTTTTGGAAACAATTCAATGTTTTAAGTACAGTGAGAATCGTCGGATAATCTTGGAAAATAATGTTTAGTAAAAAACTTAAAATGGCGTCTGAAAAAATTAAATTAATTTTTTTTATCATCACTGAAACTCAGGCGGAATCAAGGCCAGAACCTGATGAAATTGGTAAATTATCAAAGAAGTTGTCGATCTTGCTAAACAAGAAAATTTAGAAGTGAATACTCATAACGTTCCAGAATTCCTGGATTCCCACAATCAGGAGCTGACAATCGATGAGCTCATAGAAATGCATGAGCTAGACAGTGAAGAACTTGAGTCATTAAATGCAGTCCAATGAGAAAATCGAATGACGGGGTTGGGAATTTCATAGAATCTCTCAGTTAAATTGAACAAGTAATATATATATATAATTAGTCAATTTCTACTGAGGGCAACAAAGAATTTCATTTTAGCTACTTTTTATTAAAGAATTACAATTATACAATTACAATATGTATATACATATGACAAAATCACAATATTAAGTGGCAAGATAGAAAGCAATTTTCCTTACTATTTTCCATTTTCCTTACTATATAGGGTGTTGGACTATATAATTTTTGTTTGTATATATATATATATAACTATTTATTCATTAATTAAATTTAGATATTCCAATAATAGTAAAAAGAATATACATTCTCAAAAATTCGGCCATCACAGGAGAGATACAAACCCACAACCTTTGGATTAGAAGTGCAACGCACTATCCATTGCGCTACAGGTACACAACAAGGGATTTTTCTTTTTTATATATGATGTTGGAGAATTATTTTTGTTACTATTTATTCATTAGATAAATAGAATTACTGAATTAATATTTGAAAAAAAATGTATTAACATCAAGTGTTATCCACTACAAATTTAAAAAAAAATTTATTTGAACTTAAATGGATGAATAGAAATTATTTTATTAACGACTGAAAATTTGAACAAGACATATATATATATATATAAGCATTTTACCATCATGTTTCGCATCGCTTATTTAAATCAACACATTAATCTTATTTTGAATTTGTTCTGCATTTCTGTGTAACGAACCATCGAATCTGTTTGGGAATCGTAGGTCCCTTATATACTCCTTTTATTGAATATTTTGAATTGATGTTTTCATATAACTTTTTATTTTCACACTTATTCTTTATTTGGAGACTTAGGATAATAGTTCTGTCTGTAAAACTCCCACTGCGCAGTGATTGCGAGAATATCAACTAAGTTACGACGTTTTATTCACGCATGGTCACGTGATCCGACATTAACCCCCTCCCCACTCTCTATATTAGAATATCAAATTAGCATATATTCAGAAAAGAGGCTCATTCCTTCTACAGTTCTTGCCTTCTTCAGGAAAATATTAAATTAAAGATTCGAAGGTGCACACGTGAATGTACCTTATCTCTTTAGAGTTCCTTTGTCCAGTAAACACGGATGACCGATCTCTAAGTGGCGAAACGAACTTCCCTATTCCATTGTTCCTCTTTTGCATTTATACTGTTATCTAGATTCGTAGCGAGGGTTAGTTAGTGAAACCCTTGTTGGGTGGCGTTGTGTCGCCAATGCCCGCTTCCTAGCGTTCTAAAAGAGTGGAACATTCTCCTTAGTGTATCACAGTAACTGGCGATACGATGGATGTTGTAAAATTTTGATGTATACTTTTTGTAGTCTTTTGTAGTTGTTGTCTGTATTCATCTGTTAGCGTAATGTTCTAATCGTTAATAAAAATAGTTTTAGTCAACAAAGAGATGATTCCTTTGCCAAGGAATCGTGGTTTAGCTTAAGGTATCCGACTACCGTAAAATCATGATTTTTTTAAAAAAATGGACAATTTTTTTTATGATTTTATTTTATAGGCCATCTTATTAGCTTCATAAAAATACCAAGGTTCTTATCTTCCATTAACTAGAACAAAAATCACAGGTGTTTTAGTAAAAGCAGATGCCATAAGATGTCAAACTTTAAAACGCGTTTTACTCGAAATGTGTTTTTTCCGAAAAGCTCAAACGGGGACAGCGATTGTTCAAAAAGTATTTAAAATAATTTGCTGAAATTTTGTGTGTATGTTCTGTATAACAGCAGAATTGTTTTAACCTTCAGATTTATCAATCTCACTGTTTTATTACAAAATTTACAGTTCTTTATGTGAATACAAACACTGTTTTTTTAAGCAATTTCATATAACAGCTAAGATAAAGTGTTCTAGTTTTTGTAAAAATTAAAATATCTCTTATCCTGAAGGTCACTTCAAAAAGGAATAGCAAAGTAATACATCAAAATTGAAAAATTGAGAATTTGTTAATTTAGTATTTGTACAGAGCGGGTCCCTTTTATGCAATATTTTGTCAATTTGTACCCATTTTTTCCCATTTTAGTAGTAATAATTTATTTTTAAATTCTTAATTTTAGTCTTTTTTTTCTTAAAATGGACTAAATAAATCTAAAAACCACAAAAAAAAAAAATCTCCATGTATCCATTATTTTAAAAATAAGTTGTCGCAAGTAGTCGGATACCTTAAGCAATAGACAAAATTAGTTATAGCTGAGTTGGATGTTCCAGCGGATACCTTAAGGTATCCGACTACGTTCGGAACCTTGATTTTGCAAAAGCCATAAATGGATAATTTTCATGATATTTAGTGTAACTTAGATTAGAATACATGTATAAAATTGTTTTAAGGGCATTTTGACAAAAAAAAATTATTTAGATGCAATATTTTGGCAAAAAACTAACTTAGAATAATCTTTTTTCAAAATGTTCTCCTTTTGTGAAAAATGTTTCTATTATAAACATATTTTGCCTGTGTATAGCTCAAACCTTTCTACAGAGGCTCAACTAGAACTTTTGAAATATATAACTTAGAAGTGGGTTTATTCATATTTTACGACAACAGAGAGGAGCAATTTTAAGAAACAAACGCCAATAATTATTTCAATTGATGGTAACTCTGAAAATAATGTAAAATTTTCAAACATTTTAGTTGAGCCTCTGTACAGAGGTTTGAGCTATATACAGGCAAAATATTATTATAATAGATGCATTTTTCACAAAAGGAGAACATTTTGAAAAATGATTATTCTAAGTTAATTTTTTGCCAAAATAATGTATTTAAATATATTTTTTTTGTCAAAATGTCCTTTAAACAATTTTATGCATGTATTCTAATCTGAGTTGCACTAAATATCATGAAAATTATCCATTTATGTACTTTTTTAAAATCACGGTTCCGAACGTAGTCGGATACCTTAGCACCTGAATTATTAATGCAAAATATTTTTGTCTAATTTTGCTCCTGTTTAAATAATTTATTTCACAAGTTGTGCTCGTACTGAAAATACGATGTTGTTTCCTTCATCAGTAACGAATGGGACAAAAAAAGTTATCGAAAATCAGTATGAGAAATTCACAAAGCATGCAGTTAGCATGTAATTTATTCTCCTATTGTTGATTGAGCTTGCAATATAAAATAGTATGTTGGTATATTTCAGATAATCTTCGTTATGGAGCCACCTCACAAGGGGAGTGTCAATCCAATTCTATGCTTAACGCATTGTGATGGAAAAGAAAAATCGTTAAAAACTTAGGGCGGTGGGTGAATTCATCCTAGGAATCTAAAACAAGTAAATTCTTTCGCTGGCAGTGGCTAATAGGTCTAGTCACATAACAAAATGTTTTTCTCCAAGCGGGCGGTAGGTATTTAGCCTATCCACATGCGTTAATTTAATCTAAAATGCTTAAAAATCAATAAAGATGGCAGCACTATACCTTTTTTTTTTTCATTTCCTCTGATGGGTAGTTAGAAACAGTGTTTCTTGGTGTAAATCTACAAATTGTATTTTGATTACTATAAATAAAATTTCTGATCTTTGAAAAAAATTTCGACATGTGTTAAGTATACTTTTCTCTCATCTGAATGAATTAAGCAAATGTGTAGTTAAAAAAAAGTTTTACTTAGGTTTATGGAAAGCTTTTGTATGTGGATAGAGGCTCTATCCACTGCCCAAATGACCGTGAAATTTTCGCTCATCCTCTGCTCGAGAGAGAGAGCACTTAGAATGTTGGGAGTGAGAATGTTGGGAGTGTGTGTGGGAAGTACAAGCACACTTTGTTTACAATATGTGGTACGAGAATCTTGGGTTCGAAAATCTTTCATTATAGCTTTTCTGGGCGTACCACTGTACCTTGAAGCAAATGGTCCTACTTGCTTTGAAAAGTTTCACAGTAAATAGATTTTCAAATTTGTGAAATAACTAATTTATATCCTCAAAAAATATTACTTTATTTCTAACTTTTTATACTAAAATTAAATAAAATATAAAATGTGGATATATTCCATTTTCAATGTATATTTTAGTAAGTATTCTATACTCTACAATTATTCTATTCTTACTTTATTACACTTGTACTTTGTATTTAATTGTTATGGAAATAGTTATTAGCATAAATGTTAATTTTTCATAAAAAGTTTATTGTAATATGATTCATTATTTCTCTGTCATAGAAAGTAAGTTAAATGTCTTAAGTGCACAGTGGCTATAACGTCTAGCCACCACCCAGGAAAAAAAGTCCTGATCAGATATTTTTTTATGACAAAATAATGTTTATAGAGGAGGTGAACATTACATTTATCACACACAAGTACTTTATCACAGAAAAGTGTATTTTACCTTTGTGCCCGCGAAAGGGTTAATGAGTGTTTTATGGCATGAAGTTACTGTTTCAAATTTAAAATAGAATTATTCTATGCTATCAAAGTCTGATCTAAAAAACCTTGTGAATGACTTTCGCCCAGAAGGTGGAATCGAACCACTCTGACTGTATCATCAGCTACGGATTTGAAGCCCGCACACCGGACCACCAATGCTCATCTGGGAATAAACCAATACTTGTGTGTATGCTGCCATTAATAACAGAGCTCCACCATTAACTTAAAAATAGTGGTTGAAAACAAACTCTGAATCTTTCCGATTGTTTGTGGAGCGAGTGTTTAGTAACGTCTCCTTTAAATCGACACGAGGGCTATTGGCAACAAATTTTATAACTTTGAACTCTGATTAAGTGTTAAAGTTAAAGACGATACACGAGTCAGTAACTCACTTTCTTAACTTCTAAACCTAACCAACATCAGGTCCTTGAAAAATGTGTCTATTGTAAAATGTAATTTTTTAAGTTTTATAGCATTAAACCAGTGCTTCTCAAACTCTCAATATTTGCGACCCAATATTCAATCATAATTTTCAAAGCGACTCCGTCCATACAATAACAATATATTGAATTCAAATATACCGTACTTTGACGCTATATCTATTACGACTTTAACCTCTTAAGTGTCACCAGCGTATATAAGCATCCCGCTCAGTCAAAGCGTTAATTGCTCAGAACGTATATATACGTCTTTCCGAAGTACGATCTTTTCTGCTCACTGCTATCTATAAAATTATTCCGAAGGTTGTGGAATGTAATAAACTGACAGTGTTTGCGAAGGATTGACTTATTTTAGAGAATATTTTTGCTGATTAATTATTCCTTTTCTCTCCGCGATCCCTCAATACATCAAATGCGCGTGCCTACGTGGAAAACGGTGGCATTGGGGAGCGAATTGCATAACTTTTAATCGGCAGTTTAGGGATTAATTATAAACCGTGCAAATTGTCAAGATAAGTTTTAATTTTTTAACATAATTCTACGCATGACAAGGCCATGGGGGTCACTGGTAATTATTTAAATTGTTGATGATTAAATGGAAGATGGAATGTTAAATGATGATTAGTTGGAAGATGTATTGTTAAATTAACTATAAAATACATTGTGCAGAACCGATACATTAATAAGTGTATTATATCAGAGCAAATGTGTATTTTATGTTTTATTATATCAGAATATATTTTGTTTGTTTACTTTCAGCAAATTATTATAATTTATTTAAATAATCTTATGTTTTCGACTTTTCAATATACTCGCGCCCCCCTCATAGAATTATCACGCTCCCTACGGGGGCGTGCCCCACAGTTTAAGAAACGCTGCATTAAACAAAAAGAATGTCGGTTCATTTCAACTTGAAACTCATAGAAAAGTAAAATCTTTAAAGGAAGGAAAAATTATCCTTTTGATTGTAATACAAGATGCACTGAATTGCGAAATATCTAATATTCAAAGACTAAAGAATAACTTTAGTTTTTGAGGAAACGAAAAACGAAAAAAAAAAAACACTCTTGTGAGGATTTAGGTAAATTCAGTCAACGCACTGAAGGTGGAATCGAACCACTTTGACTCTGATCAGTTAAGGGTTTTAAATCCGTGTACCGGACTAGCGATGTTCATCTGGGCTTGGAACACTTTTTGCTCGCTACCGTTTATAAAAAAAAACTGTACTATAACCTTACAAACAGTGGTTGAAAACATACTCTGAGAATCTTTTCAAATGCTTAAGAAAAACGCTTGTATTGAGAGAGCAACCCGATTATGATTATGCAAAGATTTGATCCAGTGCTAAATATGTCGACAATTTATAATCTGTTGAATACAGTATTTCTCAAATTGTTATACTAATAGAATGGCTACGGTCGCGTCATCGGTAATGAATGCGAGAAAAAAGTTTTCATCTTAATTCAACATGACAAACTCACGAGTCAGGAGCATAAATTACATTATCCTTACGCGTTGTTGGTACGTTTTGGAGTAAAAAAAATGATACATAAGTATCTATCTTATAATCTTTTTTATCTAAAAAACTTCTTTTGACGAAGAACACCAGTTTCAACTGGTGAGTGAGTGAGTGAGTGGTTGAACATTAATGTCGCCCTATTCAGATACACGAGGGGTTTTGGCGACGGACCTGCTAATAATGAACCATGACCAATTGACGAGGATGACACCTGAGCTAGCACTCCATTTTAAGAACTCTCACACCATCTCGACATATTTAACGCGTATTGGTCCCATCTATAAGCGGGTCTTCAGCGGTCCTAGGCTCGAACTCATGACACACCAGCCATGAGTTCATGACCTTGACCATTAATTTACCGCTGCCACACACAAGTGGAAGTAAGGTACAAACAACTTTGAAACGTTTGTAATTTGAAAAGATAAGATGATTTGTAAAGATAATCGCTTCACAGAGTTACATATATCTTAATCTTCGAAATACTCTTTAAAAGTATTTCAAATCCACTGAGATCAAGCTATACTCTAGGGTAGCGGTTCTAATACTGTTGCCCGTGGAGTCCTGAGGGTCCGCAGCGCTTCTCTAGGGGGTCCACGAAGTCTCCAATGTAGCGTTGAAATTTCCCTCTTCAACAAACTCTAAAAAAAAAACTCGTTGAAAAATTGAAAAATGTGCCATACTAGATTAAAAAAAAATAATAAAACTTTATAAATTAAAGCAATTGGAAAATGTCTAATGAGATTAAAATATAGATCAACTACTCCTCTTACATACTGAATTTATGCAATGAAACAATTGGCAAACGAATATAACTTCAACACAATAAAGGTCAAAACTGAACAAAATCATAAATTATCTAAATACCTTACTTAATCTAAAACTGTGCAGTTTAAGGAAGAAATAATAATAATAATAATAATATTAAAACGGTGTTTGTAGCATTGAAAATGTTAGAAAGAGTCAAAAGGTATTATTTAAGAATACTCACATTACCTCTGAAAAAGAAAAAATGGGCAGCCGGAATATAGACTTTATTTCATTTATAAGGAGTAGAGTAAATTCTGTTTCAAACAAGTATTGATTTATTTAACGATTTTGGAAAATAAGTAATAATTTTTCCTTATTTATTCTCAATGTTGAATTATTTATTTTAAGAAAACTGTTTCTAATTGTAATGTGTGTGGATAAAAATTATTGTATGTGTTCGTGGAATAAAAATAGTTTTTTCTTCCTTTTAAGGAGAGGTTGCTTCTAATAATGTTTCAAAACGGATTTCATAAAACTGTGTCATTACAGCGCATAACATAATATTGTTACGAATTTTGTGTAATGAATGCTTAAAATTGTATAAATAGGTTATATCTTGAAGTGTAAAAAGTTAATATTACTTCCAGTTAAAATTCTAATATTTGCAAGCAACGCCGTCCCTTATATCATAATGGAGTTTCAATCGATACTTGGTGAAATATTGGAGACACAGCCACGTTAGTATCATTTTTGGTGACCAAACTTGGCGAGTTGGTGATCACATTGGAGGGTTGGTTATCATATAGATGCTTCTGGGAATTACAGGTGAAATCTATTAACATTCCGATCTATGATGTAAGCGGCTCTTTCGAGAAAGATCTGTACCACATATAAATAGGAGTTTCTCGCTAAAACTGAGTGAGTATTGTTTTGACCGTTGATGACTAGACTAGTGATTATTTGCTACGATCGAGCGAGTGTTTGTGAATAATCTTTATCATTATGTATTTGTATTTCTAGACACTGATAGTTGTGTCTGAGCACTGTAGAAGATGCGAAGGCTTTTTGGGATTTATTTTGCGAATTTTGCTGCTGTATCCTGTATTTCCAAGGATTGTCTTTCAACAATAAATTATCTTTGCTCCTGAAGAACTGTCTCGATCTTTACGACTGATAGCATAAAATCCTCGAACCCGAATCTACGTAGCAATATATTATTTAATCTAATTTGAATCAATTATTTATTTCAGTAATTTTCCAGATAAACATGTTCCGCATTTTATCATCACAATACTTGTAATTAATTCTACATGAGTGAACACTTCTGTAAGTTAGTGGTCAAAATTTTCTTTTAATAAATTCTTGTAACTTTTTTTGGTGTAAGATGTCTCTACCAGGCAAATCTGTTACATAATTAGAAATTTTTTTTTTTGCTTGTGCTTGAAAAAAGCTTCAAAGTTTAGTATTTCTACTAAAAAACATGTGTGTGAAAGAAAAATTAAAAAAGCCAATTAAAGGAAAATTTGCCCTTAAAAGTAATGTAGTGAGTGGCCTCCACATTTTTTATGGCGTGACTTGGTTTAAGTATGGATATTTTTCAGGAAAGTCCGTTTGAAAATGTGAATTAAGAAGAAGTGGAATGAAGTGACATGACATGTGTGTGTGAGATTTAGAAATATACCATAAAATCCGGCTCATAACGTGCACCTATACTTTCAAGCTACAATTCTTAATTTTTAGGTATACTCGCCGTATAACGAGCACTCCATTTTACGAAGAAACCTGAAAAGTACGTTCGTAATGCTCATGTTTTGCAGTTATTTATTCGAGGTACTATTCCAAGCTTTTAAGAAAAAGATAGTATAATTCTATATAACTATGACCCTCACATTAAGTTCAGAAGGAATGTCATTCCTTTTAAATAAACAGTACTTCAATATATATAGAAACATAATTTTTTTCTATATCAACGTTTATTTTTATTTTTAAGGTTCTCATTTTTATATCCGGCTCATAAAGCGCACCCGTAAATTTCGACCTTAATGTTTGGGTTAAAAGTACGCTTTATATACTTCGAATTTTACGGTACCTCTGTAACTTTATTTATTTTCACTTTTGTGTCACCTCCTGTTCAATCATCATTTTAAGTTCCATGAGGAAAATGCTTAAGTGCCGAAAGAGTGAGTGACTGAATATTAACGTCACACTGTTCAGCTACACGACGGCTTTTGGCGATGGACCTCATAATTTGGAACCATGGTTAAGTAAGAAGGACGACACCTGAGCTGGCACTCCTTCTCCTATCTACCACACCACTCCAATGGTGATGTTTGAGCTCTTTACAGATTTAACTTGCATTGTTCCCCTACACGGTGGGTATTCAGTGGCAGTGGGCTCGAACTCATGACACGACATCTACGAGTCCGTTACTTTGACACTAGGTCACCACGGCCTCAAGTGTCG